AATAAAGGTCCAATGGAAATAAGTAAAGTCCCAATGAAATAAGTAAAGTCCCAATGGAAATAAGTAAAGGTCCCAATGGAAATAAGTAAAGGTCCCAATGGAAATAAGTAAAGGTCCCAATGGAAATAAGTAAAGGTCCCAATGGAAATAAGTAAAGGTCCCAAGGGAAAAATAAGTAAAGGTCCCAATGGAAATAAGTAAAGGTCCCAATGGAAATAAGTAAAGGACTTCAATTGAAATAAGTAAAGGACCCAATGGAAATAAGTAAGGATCCCAAATTGAAATAAGTAAAGAACCCCATGGAAATAAGTAAGGGTCCCAAATTGAAATAAGTAAAGGACCCAATGGAAATAAGTAAGGGTCCCAAATTGAAATAAGTAAAGGACCCTAAGTGAAATAAGTAAAGAACCCCAATGGATATAACTCACTTTGACTTTTCTGGGTTTTCCCAGATTCTCTACACATACGCTGTGTATGATAATCTATGTAAGCTTAGTGAGTGCACATATATATATTATTATTATAATCAAAAAAGAAGCGCTAAGCCACAAGGCACATATATATAGTCTCATGGGAAGATGTAAAAATAGTATTTAGGGGTTACATGAAAAGAAAAGAAATTTTTTTTTTTTATATTTTATTGAAAAGACATACATAGTACATAAAAATAAACGACAAATTACATAGTGAAAACAGTGATGAAAAATTCTGCATAGTACATGTACTTTCCAATTAACATATTACATCTGAAAGACAAATCTGTACAGTAAACAATGACCACTCCAATCCTTGAAGTAATGACATTATGTCTGGAACACTAAATCTAACCTAAAGACTCCTTGGCAAGTACATCTAATTCCTGATTGTACATCCTGCCACGGAATGTACACCTTACATTGTACATCCTGCCACGGAATGTACACCTTACATTGTACATCCTGCCACGGAATGTACACCTTACATTCTGAAATCACTACCCCCCCCCCCTTCTTGCGTGTCAAGCCACCCGACACGTAACAATCTTTATATGTAACTGTATATTGTATGAAATACTTTCATTATTCCATATTGAACAACATGATACGTTCAGTATCACTCAATGTATTGAGATAATATAAAATTCAATTCTACATGATTCATGTACAACGTATATCTACTAAACACCCAAACATATCACCTTCTCCAGGAAGGTATAAATATATACATATGTTACATACACTTTACAACACAACCAGTGAAACTACGAAGAGCTAATCCTATGTCATCCATCAATTACCCTATAATATATATCAATTCAATGGTAACCTAAACCTACGGGCTCTATAGAGCTCCCATGAAAAAACAATATGTATTAAGAAAACAGGATAAGTCAAGCTTTCTAAAAATATTTCGCCCATATCATTAAAACCACTACTAAGATGTAAGTCTGTTATCACAAAACATAACAGTGCATGACCTTCACACGTCGATAAATACTGAAGCCTTCCTACCACACGCAATACTTCATGTGTATATATATATTTCTCATTCACACAGTGCACCCATTTTGTCATTTCATTACACACATACCAATAATTTCGTTGCAGATATATAATATTCCATCACATTACGACGTCTGTCGTCCTTTGTCATTAGCATAATTAATAATTAAATTGAAGAACATGTATCGTTCACAACACACAACCCGCTCATCATACAGTCAAAGGCACTTATGTCTCAGTACTATATTCATTCTCTTCCACACTAAACCCTTTCACACTGTCCTCATCGGGAAGCCAGCCCGCCGCGACCCCTTACATTGCACTTAAATCCCATAAATCCCTCAACCTAAAACTCCGATAACCCTCAGTAAACGCATTCTCCCAATTCCCTCCATAAATTTCCCTATTACGACACTTAGTTCTGTAAAATGTCGCAGCTAACACCTTTATCCTCTCATCCACGCCCACCTCCCTCATGGCCCATGACGTATATATAAAATCCGTGACCAAATACGCCACTGCATTCTCCACCATCTTACTCACCCCACCTATATCCAAACTTAAAGCCCGCAACACCTGCAATCCTCCCCCACCCACTAACCTGAACACCTTTCCTAACCAGACCCGCACCACTTCTATACAGTCACAAAAATATACCGCATGCAAAATTGTCTCCATGCTTCCACACGCTCTACATTCCCCTCCCTCCCTTATCCTCCTATTGAATAGGACAACCCCAGACGGCAAAATCCCATGTAAAAATCTAAACATTACCTCCCGAACACCCGGTTTTACACGTA